AAGACTGTGGGCAGCGTGTGAGCATAGGCTATCATGTGGACAGAGACTGTGGGCAGCGTGTGAGCAGAGACTGTGGGCAGCGTGTGGGCATAGGCTATCATGTGGACAGAGACTGTGGGCAGCGTGTGGACAGAGACTGTGGGCAGCGTGTGGACAGAGACCATCATGTGGGCAAAGACTGTGGGCAGCGTGTGAGCATAGGCTATCATGTGGACAGAGACTGTGGGCAGCGTGTGGGCATAGGCTATCATGTGGACAGAGACTGTGGGCAGCGTGTGGACAGAGACTGGGCAGAGACTATGGGCAGAGACTGTGGGCAGCGTGTGGACAGAGACTATCATGTGGACAGAGACTGTGGGCAGCGTGTGAGCAGAGACTATCATGTGGACAGAGACTGTGGGCAGCGTGTGGACATAGGCTATCATGTGGACGGAGACTGTGGGCAGCGTGTGGGCATAGGCTATCATGTGGACATAGGCTATCATGTGGGCAGCGTGTGGGCATAGGCTATCATGTGGACATAGGCTATCATGTGGGCATAGGCTATCATGTGGACATAGGCTATCATGTGGACATAGGCTATCATGTGGGCATAGGCTATCATGTGGGCATAGGCTATCATGTGGGCATAGGCTATCATGTGGACATAGGCTATCATGTGGACAGAGACTATGCTGTGCCACATTTAGACTTGCTCATGTCTGTTTGGGGTCCACTGCTACTTCTTCACTGCTGGCAATACTCTGTGTGTTCTTCTGTCATGTTACACTTTATTACTAGGCTTCTTAAATTCTGGAATGAAGTAGCATATTAATTGACCGCTTCATGGATGCATTCATCCATAGTTTGTATTCCCTACACTAACAAAATCTAGATACTGGTCTCTTATTCGCCTTACAAGACTGAGACTGAAATCACAGGAAACATTGTACGGGAAATCGCTTTGATTGAGTGTCAGTGAGGAGGCCTAGGTAATCTATTGAGCCTTGGGTAGTAGATCAGTATTTATCCCGGGTATACACATGGACTTTGGACTCCCATCCAACAATGAGAGATGCACTCTCACCCTGAACTCTTGGGGGAGGGTCCAGGCCCTGTCCTGGATGAAATGACAGACTATGGACACCCCCATGGAGGGCCTCACCCTCCCTGGGGAAATGAGGGGATATTGGGGGGGATTGGTGGGAGGGCATGGGGGGAGGGGAGGGAAATGGAGAGGGACCTGGAATTGACATGTGAAGCAACCTTGTTTCTGATTTAAATTTAAAAATAAAAAATATCTAAAAAAGAAAAGTTAGAAATCGTTTTGTAGAGCAAGAACCGGTATAACTTAGGTGAGCCTGGGTGTCATGCTGGAAGAATTCTTTGCTCTTTCCATCCCCATTAACATGACTTCAGTTTCCTTTCTTCTCAAATCTGTTCACATCTGTACTCCCTGACCAAGTCCTTGTTATCTTTCACCTGAACCATCACTAGACATCTCTTATTGGTCAACTCCCTTCCCTTCTTAGCCCTCTAAGCCATTTGCTTTATTTTAGACAGTATATAGTATTTTAAAATGCAAACCCGACTTGGTGATGCTTGCTTCAAATATGGTTCAACAGTCTCCCTCTGCCCTCAGAAGAGAACCCCCAAATCCTCAACTGCACCCTAGAATTAGTGTTCTTTTGCCTATTCCCTGCATTAGCGATTCTGCATGTATTGGCCCATCTCCCACAACACCCCAGCTAGTAAGGACCTAGTCGGCTTCAGTACCACTCTATTCTGACTGACATTCTAGGTCTAAGAGCTAGAATGGTTTTACGAGACAGGGTTTCTCTGTATTGTTTTGGAGGCTGTCGGTCCAGCCTGGCCTCGAACTCACAGAGATCCGCCTGCCTCTGCCTCCCGAGTGCTGGGATTAAAGGCGTGCGCCACCACTGCTCGGCTAGCAGCAGTTATCTTTTATAGCATCTATCTGAAAGACAGTTGGACTGCAGAGCCGTTTCAGGCACCCAGAAGTGTCTGTCGCCCCCTGCTGGAACACAGGCTTCTCAGCGATAGAGAAACATTGATCTAATTTATTACTACAGTATGAGCAGAACCTAATATAGTTTCTGGTGCACAAGAGTGGTCAAAATACTTTTTTTCCATAGTTGAATAAAAAAATCCTTCTTTGGGACACACCAGTAAGGGGCTGACTTTCTGTAGAGGGCTGGAGAGTGGAAAGGTGTGGGTGCTGCTTGAAGCATGATGATTGACACTTGGGATCACCCTCCTTCCTCTTCTCCTCCTCCACTTATCTGTCCCTGGCTAAACCAAACCACAGTGGTGTCTGTCTTATCCCAGGCTCCTCCAAGGTCCTCACGAAGACTGCCAGAGACTGGATATTGTGAAGGTTTCATGGGAACTCCACCAGGACAGAGGAGGGCATCTTTGCTAGATGGTTTGAAATGTACAAGAAGTCCCCCAAAGTGGAGCAAACCCACAACTCTGTCCATTGCCCACCCAAGTAGAAAGCCCCAGTGTACATGGTTCTTTAGTAAAACCTTTCCCTTTGCAAGTTTTCCTTATTTTTAGTATTAATATATAAATACATATTCTACAAGGGAACAAAAGGAAAACCTTACTGCTGGGCCCTGGATGTCCTTGTCCAGATGCAGAAATGCTCTGGGTAAATACAAGCAAACTCATACATATCCTCCCCACATAAATCCTTTACACAAAAGCAGTTTATACTGTTCATTGTTCCATGTCTCACTTTTTAAAATTAATAATACTGTTTGAAAATCGTTCCGTGTCTGTTTATAGATAGCAATTCCCTTCCATTCACCCTTGTATTCTACTAAATTTATGCATCATTTTTTATCTGACAATAATTACATTTTTATCTTATTTGTGGCTGTTTAGGTTATTTTCTATCAATTTCTATTTTGAGTATCTATGCATTGACTATACTTGTATAAACTTCATTTTGTTCTTTTGGAGCAGCTGAATCAAAAGAATGAACTCTAATGGGGCCAGAGAGATGTCTCAGAAGTTAAATGCACTGACTGCTCTTACAGAGGACCCAAGTTCAGTTCCCAGCACCCACATGGTGGCTCATAACTTACAACCCAGTTCCAGGGTATCCAAGGTTCCCTCAGGCTCTTGCATGCATGTGATATACATGCATACACGCAGAAATACACACATAAATGCACGCACACACATAATCAGTTTAAAATAATACATTTTTATGTGTATGGGTATTTTGCCTGCATGTGTCTGTGTGCTGTGTATGCCTAGTGCCTGCAGAGGCTGATAAAGAACATAGAATCCCATGGGACTAGAATTATAGACGGTTGTAAGCCACCATGCGTGTTGAACCTGAGTCCTCTGGAAGAGCATTCATTCCTCTAAACAACAGAGCCATCTCTCCAGCCCCTGCAGATATAGTTTGGAACCATCTGGAATTTATGTGGTCTAATAGGAAGTCAAGCTTATGGTAATCTAATTATCCCCAAACCACTTACTAATGAATCTTTTTTCCTTCAATGATTCAAAGTACATTTAGTACATTTAATGAGTACATTTCTAAGTTAAAGGATTATCATATCCTTATAGCTAGGAAGTCTGATCGTATGTAATTGCTTCTTTAGAAGTTTCCTTTTGAAGCTTGGAATCAGTTTAGCTAGTTTCAAAGAAATATTGTTTTGATGTTCTTATTGGTACTACATTAACCTTAATGCCTTCGAAGTCTGGCATCTTAATGATGCTTAGGCATCATATCCAAGCATATGACCTACACTTCAATTTGCTCGTCTTCTTTTTATTCCTCCGTAGTTTCTCTCACAGCCCTTACACATTCCTCAGCTTTATTTCTCAATATTCCATCTTTCATTGTTGCTAAGTACTGTAAGTTATGGCTTTAATTACTTACTGCTTACTGACCACAGGTATGGAAATTACTATCCTGGCTTCAATAATGCTGGTGCTAGCCAGACCCTCGCCACTTTTTATCATCACTTTTAGATTTGTGTTTTCTAGGTAAAAATTAAATAATGACAAATTCACTTCTTCAAGCCTTGGGGGGAAAGTCTTATTTGCGGGGGTAAGAGGCAGCAGTTTCCTCTTCCTCTTTTATTTCATTTATTTATTATTTATTTTGCATCCTGACATTCTTCAAGCTGGTGACAGTAAACGTTTTGAAAGTGTGAACAGCAGAAGCACCTTTCTACCCCACCTTGGCTTCCCTGTCCACAGGAACCAGTGCTTATGTGGTCCGTTCTGTGTCCTTCCATGGGCATCTCACACACCAGCTGCCCCTGAGTGTGGCCCCTGGGAAGCCCGGACAAAGAGCCACAAAGTCCAGAGGGTAGACAGACCATCCTCTCCTGTTTTTATCCTTAATGACTAAATAAGGAGGGAATGGAAAGGCTACAGCTGAGGCCTGGACAATTCTAAACCTTCTCTGGTCATCTTGAAAGAGCCAGGGCCCTGGCTTCTGCGTTTTCTTTTTCAACACACTCTATGTCCTTATCTCTTTCAAACAGATGTCTTACAGGCATACATGTGGTAAGTGACCTCAGAATTTACTTAGGGCCAGAGACTCAGAGTTGGATGCAGACCCACTGTAGGCAACTGCATCTATAGTTGCCCCGGTAACTTCTGGGTGGGGGGTTGTCTTGAGGTCATTAAAGTTTGAGTTTTTTTCCAGCTACCAGTCTTCCCTGGAGTTCTCACTCCAGCCTGCCGGACAGAATCCTGCCTAAGCCTTCTGGCTAAGAGAGATCGTGGGGCAAAGGGGGTCACTCCCAGCAGCTGGTCTGGGAGATAGCAGCAGCAAGGAGGGAGTAGGAGACAAGAAACCTGTCAGGAAGTCCACAGAGGAGCCAGAGAATTTTGCTTTTTACAAACCTTTAAACCAACAGAAGTCTTCTGTCTTTTCAGTGTGGAAAGAGATTTGGAGAGAGAGTCTGGAGGCAACAGTTCAAGGCAAACATTTCCTGTGCTCAAGTGGATCTGAGTAGCCTGCAGCCATGGGACAAGGTAAGCTAAGCCAGTTACTGACTGTTATGGCTGTCTTCATGACATGTTTTTATTAAAGGAAGTATGTTTGGTGATGGAGGTGACAGTAGTGTGTGAGGAGGGCTGGGGAGGGAGGTATTTGGAGTGGGATGGAAGTGGTGTGGTGTGAATACAGGGTAGGTGGTTGTATGGTAAATTTAATTGCAATAATGATAGTGGAGTGATGGTGACTATCATGGATTTATAGTCATAGCCCAAGATCAACATAATGTAAATGGTTAGAACTCTCTAGACTGTGATACAAATGAGGTACACCTGGTGTGCTGACTAGTTTTCATGTCAGCTCGACACGGGCTAGAGTGATTTTGGAAGAGGGAACTTCAATTGAGAAAATATCCCCCACAAGATTGGCTGATGGGCAAGCATGTGGCTCATTTTCTCAATTAATGATTGATGTGGGAGGCCCCAGCCCACTGTGGACTGTGCTAGCCCTAGGCAGGTGGTCCTGTATGGTATAAGAAGGTAGGCTGGGCGAGCCAGTAAACAGCAGTCTTTCACGGCTTCTGATACAGTTCCTGTCTCTAGGTTCCTGCCCTAACTTCCCTAGATGATGGACTTCACTTGTAAGATGAAATAACCTTTTCTTTCCCATCATATCATTAGAAAAGTAAATGAAGTTGCCTGGGAAATCCCAAGCTGTCACATTCTTAAAGTCTAATAGGTGAGAAGGGATGGTAGGAGTCAGTGAACAGCATAATGGGCAGAGACAGTCACGAAGTCAAATGGAGGGGAGGTAGGAACTCTGGGGGTCCTCTGATCTGAGTGTCCAAATAGGTGAAGCCTGAGCCCCAGGCACATCTTAGAAATCCTTAGGACTGATCCCACGTTCTTGTACTGCCATTAAGCGGGCACAGGTTGGCTGGGAAATCAATTGTGTTTGGCATACTGATGGGCAAAGGATGCTGAAACAGACTAGATCAAGTCCTTCAGCAAGCTCACAGCAGGGGTGGGGGCAGAGAGCAATGGGCAATGCCTATTAAATGGGGTGAGTGATTTAGGGGAACAGAGTACTGTGGAAGCTGTGGACCAAGCTCCACCTGGAGAAGTCCTCAAAGGCTTTATGTGTTGGGAGATGAGGACACACCTTTCAGATAAAAAGAGGCCAGGAAGCCTTCCAGACAGAACCAGAGTTCTGGAGGGTAACTCTTGCCAGGATTCTGTGGTTATTATGTGAGCCCAGTGTATCTGGGCTCAAATCATGTGACAGCTTCCACCACCCAGTCCAATTCAACCATCCCATAGGGGCTGGGCTCAGTCTGGGCCCCAGAACCAGTATGCTGAGAGGAGTCATCAGGTGCTTCCGGCCGCTGCTGTTGCTGGCTTTACAAATCCTAGTTTGACTGAAGCTCTTTTATCTACTGCCATGACCTGAACACCTCACTGGTAGGTGAGAGGGAGACAGGATGCAAAGGGCACCCAGGGGCACCAGGAGCAGGTGTGCAGGGAGGTTTTACATCTTCAGATTCAACATGTCAGCTCTTTCCCCAGCATTATACATCATCAGACATTGGCTCCACCACAACCACAGGAAAAGCAGGGAACACAAGCCTTTTTCCCACTTCTTCCCTCTGCTCTTGAGCACTCATCCAAGAAGTTTGGTGACTGAAGTGGGAGTCCCCTGTACTTGTCAATACATGTCCTGGGGCCCAAAGGACTTGTTTCAGGGTTAGATCATTTCCTTGAAGCAGATCAAATTTTAGTCCACACTTGCTAGCAAAAGCCACAGCTTCTTCCTCCCAGCAGCTGAGCCCATGCAAACACTACAGGCTAGTTTTTGCTGAGGAGGCTCCCAATGGAGAGCCTCTGTTGTCAACAAAATGATGTGTATCATTCCTTCAATACATGAAGAATTAAACTTTTATTTTTTTGGTCTTGTGCCTTACTTCAGGATTGCTAAGCATTTTTTATTTTTAAAAAGTTGTATTGATTTTTATTTTATGTGTATGAAAGTTTTGCCTGTATGTGTACCATATGTGTGCCTGGTACCTTTGGAGACCAGAAGAAGGGCATTGATTATTCTGGACTAGGAGTTATAGCCAGTGGTAAAGTTGCCATACTGTAATACTGTAAATCAAACCCAGTCCTGTAGCATGATTAATAAAGATCCAGAGACAGATATTCTGGTTCAAGCTGAAAAATCAGAAAAGCAAAGTATCCAAGCCACCAGAAAGCTCTTACCTCTACTTAGTTCTGTCTCCATGAGCTACCCACCAAGCTTCAAACTGCTGCTTCTCTTCAACATGGCTGGAGACTAAATCTCAGAATGCAGCCTGAGACTCTGGGCTCCTGTCTTTTATATACCTCTCTAGAGCTGGGATTAAAGGCATGAGCTCTAATTCTCTTTTAGACTGATTCAATCTTGTGTAGGCAAGGGTGTCCTTGGACTCACAGAGATCCATCTGTCTGTCTTCTGAATCCTGGGATTAAGGGTGTGTGCCACCACTGCCTAGCTCTATGGCTAGCTAGTGTGGCTGCTGGAATTAAAGGTATGTATCATCATTGCCCGACCTTGATAGCTTGCATCCTGAACCCTCAAGCAAGCTTTATTAAATCATAAATAATATATCACCACAGGGTCCTCTGGAAGTACAGTCAGTGGTCTTAACCATTGATCCATCTCTCCAATTCCTGCTAGCATTAAAAAAATTCTTCGTTCCTGGGCTGCAGAGATAGCTCAGAGGTTAAGAGCACTGCATGTTCTTCCAGAGGTCCTGAGTTCAATTCCCAGCAACCATATGGTGGCTCACAACCATCTATAATGAGATCTGATGCTTTCTCTTGGGGTACAAACATGTACACAGATTTTAAAAAACTGTATACATAATAAATAAATAATTAAAAAAGAGTTACCTTAAAAAATTCTTCGTTCCTAATGTTTCCTCTCTATGTAAAATAAAGATTGAGAATCTGTCATAATACACTGGGGCCACCTCCTTTCAAGTACCATGAGATGGTGAGCCTCTAGATCAAAATACACATTACCTCAGGTGAGATGGTTCTATTCTCAGCCTCACTCTTGTCATCTTTAAGACAAGAGAATTTGACTCCCTGATCTCCAATCCAGTTTTAATATTATCTGACTGTGTAAAAAAACCAGTAAGAAGAATATGGGACTAGGGATGGAGCTCAGTTAGTAGAGTGCTGGCCTAGTAGGCACAAGCTCCATGTTCAACCCCAGCACTGCATAAAACACACACCTGTAATCCAGGACTTGGAAGGTGGATGCAGGAGGATCAGAGGTTCAAGGTCAACCTCAGCTGCACATCAAGTTGGAGACCAGCCTGGGGTACAGCAGGGCCTGTCTTACAAAAAGAAGGGGTATGAGGAAGATTCTGGGTGTGCAAGATTCTGGGTTTTATTCATTGTTTGGATTTGGAACCAGAAACTAATGTTAATACTTAAGGGACCTTAATAAGTGTTTGACATTATGCTAATTAAAATGAACGCAAGCACATAGATATGTACATGTATAACTTCATTCATCTCCAGAGACGATTGGCCTGAGAAGAAAACTGAAATTCAGAAGAGTTGCTTGCTTGAGGTTGCACAACTGACAAGGAAATTGAACCCCATTCTTGGAAGGTGCCTTTTATTCATGTAGTTGGGTTTACCTCACATCCATGACTTTCCTTTCCCCACAACAGCTCTGGGTATCAAAAGATGTGACTTAAAGGCAGCAGAAAACAACAAGGAACACCACACCAATGCCATCAGCTCCCAGCACCTTGTTTTGAGGAGGGGACAGTCCTTCACTATCATCCTGAACTTCCGTGTCCCAGTCCGCAAATTTCTGACTTCCCTGAAGAAAGTGGCTCTCGTTGCGCAAACTGGTATGTGGAGCAGGCCTAGACCATTGTGGGGACTTGAGGATCTGGAGGGATTCTCTCCCCAGCATCCTCTCAGAAGACCAAGGTGCAGATGTCCACACTGCAGCTGGCCTTAAGCTGTTCTGCTCCGCAAAGGGGCTATTGTGAGAATGTACATGGTAAATGTGCATAAGGAATTCTGTTTATTATGATTCCAAAGAGCCCAGATGCTTTTTGGCTGCAACTTTGTAGGAAAGGTTGAGTGGGCTCTAACTCTGGCTAAATATAGCATCTAGTCTGTGCTAATCAGTGAAATCTATGTTATGCATCAGCTATTGAATCAAAAATATGTATCATGTAATATCTAATTTAGTTCCTTCACAGGCCCCCATGTCCATGGTCCTGCTTCCTCAGAATCAGCCAACCATGATGGAACATACCCAGGCAAAGATTGTCAAGTAGTCTTTCCCTCATTATCATCAGTTCTTAAAACATACAGCATAGTGACTATTTACACAGCATTCATGTTGTATAAGGTTTCATAATACTTGAAGTTTACAAGAAAATGTAAAGCTATGGTATTTTATAAAAAGAGACATAGACAACCTTGGATTTTGGTATTGCAGGACGTCCTGGAACCAATACCCCTGGATCAGAGGGATGATTGTATCATTATTACACCTATTTTGTAAGCTGTGACCCTTTCATAGATGTAGGTCTAGAAGCACCAAGAGCCTGTGTTCCCCACCATCCTCTACTGCTCCTCATTATAGGAGAACCTCTTTCCTTCTCCTCCAAAACTAATTGGCACCTCCTCCATCTTTGTAATACCTTGATTTATTTATTACTCTGAGCTGTGACTTGGAAGTCCCATGACCAATTTATTGCTGTGCAATTTCAGGAGAGCATCCTTCCAAGGCCAACAAGACTCAAGCCATATTCCCTATTTCCTCTCGGGGTGACCAAAAAGGATGGAGTGCAGCAGTGGAAGAAAGAGATGCCCAGAACTGGACCATTTCTGTAACCACACCCGTGGATGCTGTCATTGGCCACTACTCACTCCTGCTTCAGGTTTTAGGCAGGAAACAATACCCGCTGGGCCAAGTCACACTGCTTTTTAATCCCTGGAATAGAGGTAAATTTCGACCTCAGCTAGACTGAGCCGCACAGGGAAGAAGGGAAGCAGAACTAGGATATAGCTCCAATAGGGAGCGCCTGCCTAGGCCTTGTGGGAAAAACCAGCATCAAATTCCAGCAGGTGCCGTCTTAGGGGCCTATCTTGGTAACCCTGGGACGTCATGTTGAAAGTATACACTTGTTTTACTACCAAAATCAGGTGCCTGTTGAGGCTATTTTGGATTCGTTGAGATGAACTCCAAAGTCTGCCCTTTACTGTAGCAGTATAGAAATGAGGAGCTGGAGAGACACCTTGGCTGTTAAGAGTGCTTGCTGCACAATCATGAGGATGAAGACTTGGATCCCAGATCATACATAACAAGCTGTGTGCCCAACAAGTGCCTGTAAAGCCAGGCCCAAGAGACCCAATGTGCTCTTCCGGCCTCTGAATACACAGGTGTACACCAGAGTACCCACGTGTACATAAACCCAGACACATATGGGAGAGCCATTGACTCTGCTCCTCTGAGAGATGGTTGAGAGAGGTTCAGATGGACCAGGTGTGGTAGCACATGCCTTTAATCCCAGCATACAAGAAGTAAAGACAGAACTGGGAGCCCAGGCAACTCTCTAGTGCTTAGTGTTTCTCACCAAGGCTGAGAGAGAATATTTGGCAAGAAAAGCTGAACCCCACGCTGCTTCCAGCTTCCCAAAGTGAACAATGGTTTCTAAAAGATACCTAGGATAGAGGTGAAGGCTCAGTGAGTAAAAGCAATTGCTGGGCAAGCCTGATGATGTGAGTTCCCAGCCCCAGAATCCAACGGACAGCCCAATGCAATGTGCTTATAGGAAGACCAGAAGCAGAGACGGGAGAATTTCCAGAAGCTTGTAGATCAGTTAGCCTGCCTTACACAGGGGAAGTTTCCCTGTGTCACACAAGGTGGATGATTGGGACTGACACAGTCTCGTGACACTCTGCCTCACCCTTGGAGAAGGGAACTGGGAGAGATACTAGGAAGGGACTGTGTTCACTCTGGACCCAGAGGATCCTTCCCTACAGAAGCCCAATGTCCCTTCTCACCTTGCCCTCTATATTCACTCTGCTTAACCTGTGTTTAATTGCTGTGTTTACTTTGCTTTTTCCCCTGTTACACCTTCTTCTTAAACATTGATCTTCTAAGAGAGACTTAGCAGGGCTCTGGGAAACTCCCTGGAATGTTCCTGATTTCTTTTGAGCCAGTGAGGCTCTCGTTTGCAAACTTCTGGAAACCACTAGGCTTTTTAAGGTTGGCTTGTTCCAGGCCACACCTTGACTGAGGTAGGGTGTCTGGACCAGGTCCTGAGTAAGCAGTGAGAAGGACCCTCCTGAGTCTTCACGAGGCCCAGACACACAAGAAATGCTGAAACCAAACCCAACCTGAGCTGGGAGGGCAGAACCCTAGGCCTGGAGGACAGACAGACCTGGCACCCTCAGGCCCTCATCCTCTCCTGCTTCTTGCCAGATGACGCTGTGTTTCTTCAGAATGAGGCTCAACGCACAGAATACTTACTGAACCAAAATGGCCTCATCTATGTGGGCACCGCAGACTGCATTCAGGAGGAGCCCTGGGACTTTGGTCAGGTAATCAGATCCTCTAGAGGAAAAGAGGAACACTGCCTATCCCATACCTTTAACACGCAGGCCAAACAAGGCTAGTGGGTTCAAAAGCCCTACCTGAAGAATCATTTCTTGAGCCCGTTTCAGCCTTGTGGTGCCTCTGCTGCTTTTGGACCACATTACATCACTCTCCAGAGCTGCTAGTTATCTTCACAGATGCCATGGAAACCCAGCTTCTGATAAATGCCCTCTGTCCAGAGTAGAGACCCACACATGCCCTGGCCTGACAGCCGAGCAGCCAGACCACCACCTTCCTTCCCAGCATCCACCCCATGCTCTGGCTGCGAGGACATGGAGGCTGGGGAATTCCTCTGTCTGGACTATCTTCCTTCTCTTTTTTCTTAGAATACTACTTCCCAGTCTTACAACCTTCTGGAAGTTTCTCCCAGTCCTTAAAGACAGAGGCGTTGTTCCACTGTGCCATCTGCTGTGTCTCCTGGAGTCTGAGATACACTGCTACGGCTACCTGAGGGGCCATATCCCAAGCAGGGGCTCCTCCAGAGTGGGAGCTTCCATACCTGGCTCAGTGCCTGTGCAAACATTAGATATTCACTAAGTAAAAACTAATGAAGTTAAATGACTTGAAATGACAGTACTGATAATGGCACATGCCTTAAATCCCAGCACTTGGGAAGTATAGGCAAGCAGACTTCTGTGAGTTCAAAGTCATCTTGGTCTACACAGTTAGACCCTATGTCAATAAAAATAAATAAATTAAATGGCCCAACACCAGTCTCCATGAGATCACATCCTATCAGGAAAGCAAGGGCACGGAACAAAAAACTGGGTGCTGGGTACACGGCTGGGTGGTTCAGGGAGAAGAGGGAAGAGTCAGAGCCAGAGCACCCATGGTGGATGTAGAGGCAGGCAAGGAAGACCTAAGACCCAAGCTTGGGAGAGCGACAAGATAACAGAACTGCCCTAGGAGATAGCGCCTGGCCTGGGAACCCTTCATCTCATCCTGCATTGTCCTTACAGTTTGAGAGAGACGTCATGGACCTCAGCCTGGACTTACTGAGTGTGGACAAGCGAGTGGAGAGGTGGGGTCAGCCTGCACATGTGGCCTGTGTAGTGGGCACATTGGTGAGCATGAGCCTGGGGGACCAGCGGGAGAGGAGATGGGACAAGAGTACTTGATGGAGGGGCCCCACCTTCATGGCTCTGGAAGCTCTCAGAGCACAAAGTTCCCCTCTCCCAGAGTGTGGGAAAAGTCCTCAGAGAAGAGCATCATGGGAAGAGGAACAAGGCAAGGAAAAGAGAGAGAGGTTCTTCTGAGAGACGCCGGGAAAGGGAGGAAACTGGCCTCGATTGTCTCAGCATACTCTTACTCCTAGCCCTGCCCTGGAAGCTTAGAGTCCTAGGAGGGAAGATGTACCCTAGCCTTCTCAGTGCTTGCTGCTGTGGTGATCCAAGGGTCTTTTTTATTTCTAAATGTCCCTAAGAATATGCAGATCATAAAGGTGGCTTGGTGTGCTCAGTGGTGGTGGTACACGCCTTTAATCCCAGCACTCGGGAGGCAGAGGCAGGAGGATCTCTGTGAGTTCGAGGCCAGCCTGGTCTACAAGAGCTAGTTCCAGGACAGCCTCCAAAGTCACAGAGAAACCCTGTCTTGAAACACACCTCCAAAAAAAGGATGGCTTGGTGTTTCTCATATGTTTTAGTTAGGGTTAATATTGTTGTCATGAAGCATCATGACTAAAAGAGTTGGGGAGGAAAAGGTTTATTATGGTTTATATACCCTAAGTCACAGACCACTAAGAGGAGCCAAGGCAGAAACTCAAAGAGAGCAGGAGTCCTGGAGACAGGAACTGATGCAGAGGCTAGGGAGGAGTTCTTGTGTGATCTACTTTCTTATAGAACCCAGGACCACCAGCCCAGGGATGGCACCACCCACCATGGGCTGCGCCCTCCCCCATCAATCTATCATTGATTAAGAGCATGCCCTCCAGGGCTGCCTACAGCCAAATCTTATGGAGACATTTTCTCAACTGGGGTTCCCTTCTTGCAGATGACTGTTGCTTATGTCAAGTTTACTTAGAACTATCCAGTGCACCATGTCCATAAAGTCCTCTCAGAGAAGTAATACATTCTCCATTTCCTCTCATACCTTTCAGTCTCTCTCTGAAAGGCAGGATGTGGGTCGTCTATTCTGTAAGAAGGAAGGGGTTTGAGATAAGTGGCCTCCAAGACCCAGGGCGAAGAATGTTGAAGGAGTTGGGGCAGAGTAAGCAGAGGACAAGTAGACCCAGTTCTCGAGCTCCACCCTGTGGCTGGAGCTGGAGGATGATTTAGATGAAGAGTCCGGGGTCTGGGGTGTACGGGCTGGAGCCTGCAGCATGCTGGTTTGACAAGCTCTAGGAACTGAGTCACATGCTTGGCAAGCTGCAATGAACACTCCCACTGACGACCACATATCTACCCCAACAGCTGCATGCTCTGAAGAAAAAGAGTGTACTGCCAATGTCACAGACCCAGGCTGCCCAGGAAGGGACCTTACTGTACAAGCAACGGGGGAGCGTGCCCATACTGCGCCAGTGGCTCACTGGCCACGGACGACCCGTGTGTGAGAGCCAAGCCTGGGTGTTCGCTGCTGTTGCTTGCACAGGTACAGGGCAGGCAACATGCAGGTCAGTCTTCTGGGGTGCTGTAGTGTCTGGCCAGCATCTTGAGTTGTTCCTTTGCCTCCCGTGTAGGAAGGATGTCCCCTAAAGCAGGCACTGCCTCCTCTCCTCAGCCTTCCCCCACCTGATTTCCAGACCAGCTGTTCCTTCTCTTTTCCCTCAGCAAATCTGAGCTCATTTACAAACTCTGCTCCCAAACCTACTTTCTCCCCAAAACATCCCCACCTGTCCCCCACAGAGCAAGCCTCAGTGCTCCTAAATCTCCCCCTTGCTCTATACTCCTGTGCTTGCATAATTTGTGTATCATTTGCCAGCCTTCATCTGTTCAGCTCAGACCCCTCCTCGTTCCACCATGTCGCCTAACATTTAAGATAGATCCTGTTCAGTCTTGGGATTTTCTGCCCCCTCTGACATTCTGTGCCTCTTCCATGCAGTGCTGCGTTCCCTTGGCATCCCAGCGCGAGTCGTTACCACATTTCCTTCAGCCCAGGGTACCAGTGGGAGCCTGCTGGTGGATGAGTACTACAATGAGGAGGGACTACTGAATGGAGAAGGACAGAGGGGCTGTATCTGGTGAGAAGCCTAAAGGAGAAAGTGTTCTAAACCAGAAAGGGCTCCAAAATGCCACGTTCCACGTGAACCCCTTACTTTGAGAGCCCTGGGCTAAGAGCAGACCTTCAGGACTCTTACAGGAGGTGGTGGTGGTCAGTGATGGAGAGTATGTGCCTCTCTAGAGGTGTCCTTTCTCTTCATATGCAGTGCCCTCCTATCCCCATGGCAACAACCCTCTAAAGGCACATCGCTAGACTCCCTTCCACACACTCCTTTTTGCCCACTTGAAGTTTTTTTTTTTTTTTTTTGCCTTTGATACTTTTAGGATCTTCCAAACTTCTGTAGAATGCTGGATGAACAGACCTGATTTGTCCCCGGGTTATGACGGATGGCAGATTCTGCACCCAAGAGATCTTAATGAAGTTGGAGGTAAAGCCTAAAGACCAACCAGGGATGCAAGAGCTGAGGATCTAGGAGCAGCATGTGGTCCAAAAAGGGTCTTCATCCTCTAAAACAGGAAAAGCAGAAGGCATGATGCCAACAGGCTCAAGGGAATAAAGATGTCCACTACCCCACCACAGACTGCATGAACACTAGGCCCATTTCAAGCCAGGAGCAAGGAATACCATCTCAATGAAAGACAAAGGGTCTTAAGATGGCTATGGGTATTCTGGAGTAGGGCCTGGGACTTGTCTGTGTGTGGCTGAAAGGGGCCATGTAGCAATCACAAGCCTAGAGAGGGAAACTTCAAGGAGCCAAAGAATGGTACCTCCTTTCCCTGGAAAAAAGTCAGAGAACCTGGCACATAGAAAGCAGTCAAGAAGGTGACCTGTTCATAGCCTATTAGTGTTAAGCTGTGCACCAGTTACGTCCCTCTGAGGTCCTTCCTGTCTAGTTTCTGATACAGGTCAGGACCTAAAAGTATTTTCACTGTGTTATTGTGAGTTTCATCTTTAATACTTTCTCAGAAAGCCTGTCTACTTCCTACCTCTGACCTTGATTCTGGAGAAGAAGCAATAGTGTCCAAGGGTGACACAATGAGCTCTAAACAGAGCAGAGATCTAAGTGGTTCTTCCGCTCATCTGCCTTTCTCTCCCTCAGTCCTGGGACCCTGCAGTCTGGTCCCAGTCAGAGCAGTCAAGGAGGGGGAACTGCAGCTGGACCCAGCAGTATCAGACCTGTTTGCTGCAGTAAATGCCACGTCCATGGTCTGGAAGTGCTGTGAAGATGGGACATTGGAGCTGACCGACTCCAAAAAAAAGAATGTTGGCAATGGCATCAGCACCAAGGTCGTGGGCTGTGACCGCTGCGAAGACATCACCCAGAACTACAAGTACCCTGAAGGTGCTGACCAGCAAAGGGAACTGACCTATTCATCTGAGATAGCAAATGAGGGGAGGGGAATGGGCCAGACAGACGCAGGCCAGAAAGAGTCCCAGTCTTTTCCTTATCAACCCTGGCTATAACATGACTGCCAGTTTGGATCAGTCAGTTCTGCACCATAGGAGGTTGAGGTGTAGAATGCACTACAGTACTCATGACTTCTGTTCAGGAGACATCAGTCCCTAACCCCAGGCAGTCCTGAAACCAAAACTGCCTTCAAATATTTTCAAATGTCCCCTGGAGGAGTGGGTGTCAAAATTACTCCTACCTGAGAGCTGTTGTTATAAAACAAAACACTAAATGTCAAACTAAATACCAATCTCCATCCAACGTTACCTCTCTCTCCCTCCCTTCCAAGATCCCCAGCTATTTCTCTCTATTAGCTTTTCCCTCACTCCCTGGAGCCTTCCCCTTCATAGTACTGTCCTTGCCTGACTCTGTCTTCTTCACTCTTTTCCACAACCTGGTTACTCTAGGGGCTTCCTTACCTCTTACCCACAGGATGGCAACCCCCTGACTCCGGTCTCTCCATCACAGTTCACTTTCCTATTTCAGTTTTGAGAATGAATGTTCTAAGACATGAATGTCCTTGTTATCGTCTCACTCAAGAATATTCTGTGGCCCCTTTGCCCTTTGAGTAAGTTCAAGTCCCTTCACATATGAAGAGTCAATTTCTTGCAAAAATGTCTCCAGCAACAGCATCAACTTGTTGAAAACACTTGTTTTCCTTATGCAAAGGCAAATCCAAAGCCTGAGACATTTGCAAATCTGTTTAGGATTTTAATTCTGCACTTTTACCAGATGGATCTGTAGCTGCTGAGTCAGAGGTCTGTTTGTCTCTTCTGTTCTGCAGGATCTCCTCAAGAGAAAGAGGTACTGGAGAGAGTACAGAAAGAAAGGAAATACCTGAAAGACATGTGTCCTCCGAGTCCTGAGCCCGTTGACCCTATGTACCTGTTCTTGGGCACACCTAGCTCCTTCCCCTTGAGAGGGCAAGGTCACATCTCAGTGACCCTGATTAATCCCACGGACCAGGAGAAGGAGGTGCATCTAATGATCAGGGCCCAGGCTGTGTACTACAATGGAATCCTTGCTACTGATCTCTGGAGGCAGAAGCAGTGCTTCAGACTTGGGACCAACCAAGGTAACTCACTGGGCCTCCAGCAGACACCCTATACACTTGGTTCTAAGTTGGGCTCCGTCCACAGGTCTCTAGAGACGGCTTGTAGCCCCCTGGTGCTCACACTCACTCACTCATTCAACACAGATACATTTGGTCTGACACAGGTAAGAGGATCAAAATTGCAACTGCACTCAGGTAAGTAAACCAACCCATCCTGGCAGGGAGAAAGCATCTGAGGCCAACAGAGCTCAGGCCAGGAAAGGCTGGGGCAATCTGCACCCAAATGCTCCAGAGCAGGCTATTTTGAAGAATGAAGAAGGACAAGATGGACAGAAAAGTGTGCCAGGCATTCCAGACAGAGGGAAGATGTCCCTTCTCTTCCTTAGATACTATTTTAATTGGTCTGAGATGAGGTCAGGCACAGGAACTTGTCAGAAGTGCTGTGTATTTTAGGGTTAAGATTCCCTGAAGTCGTTCTTGAACTCGGTCATACACTGGAGTCACCTGGGGAAGCTCTATGTTTGGGCAAAACCCTGGCAATTAGGAAAAACAACACAACAGCAACTCCATAGTAGACACAATCAGAATTTACAAAACTCCTGAGCAAATCTCACTGCACAGGCAAGCTTCAGGAGCAAGGATAGCGCTCATCTACATACCTGCAGCAGCCTTCTACCTGGCCTGGGTCTCCATTCTTTCCATTACTGTGCCTTGCCCAAGCATAGCATGGGTTAGCATGAGAGCTAGACGTGACTCAGCTTATGAACAGTCTTGTACGTCATGCTCAAGAGCCTGAGTTTTGTTGTGTAGGAAATGGTAAACTAATAAAGTTTTCATTAGTGGTGTCAATGTGATCAGAAATCCATTTTAAAAAGAAAGACCTTTTGGCAAAATGGAATGGAGGGAGTCACTAACAAGCAGTTGTTCTTAACCTTGGCCGCACACTGAAGCACCTGGGGGATAATCCTAACACTGAGCCTGGTTGCCAGCATCTGAGCTAACTGACTTGGGGTGTGGCCTGGGGTTGGGACTGTATTATAAAGGATTCTTACACAAAGCCAATATAGAGAACAAGTAGGTTAAAGCAGGTGGTGGTGGGGACTTAGTAACCGTTGAAATCCAGAAACTAAAGCCAGACTAACCTATGGTTTGGGGGAGTCACTAGAAGAGGGGAATGCAACTTTGGGAAAAAAAGATGAATCTAGTTATAGCATGTTAAAAGCCGCAAGCCATTCAAGTATCCAGACAGCCAGCAGAGAACTTGAACACAGAGTTCAAGATCTAGTCCATGCTGGAGAGCAGACATAGAAATCCCAGTATGGCCCAAAACTCAAGGCACAGAGGGTCTTACAGGGCTGGACCTCCAAAATAATACAGAGAAACCCTGTCTCGTAAAACAAAACAAAACAAAACAAAAAAGAGTCTGAGGGGTCAGGACACCCAGCAAGGTTGGCAGAGAGGTCAGGCTGAAAAGCATAGACTGTGAAAATGACCTGGCTGAGAGGCAATGACAAAGGCTGGCTTCCAGGGGTTTAAACTTATTGAATTCAGGAAGTGACACAGTGCAGTTCTTCCAAAAGCATGATGGGGAAAAGGAGGGGCTAAGTGGGTAGTTACCCATGGACAGTTGGTAGAGAGAGGGTGCTGATTCTTTGGTTTGTTTTGAAGGCGGATCTGCTCATATGCTGAGGTAAATAACCAGCACAAAAACTGAAACTTTGGGAGATGTGTGTTATAAATGACAGCATAGTCTCTGGGCAAATAACTAATCAGAATAATTATAACTCACATTTACTAAGCACTTTATATTTGCTGGAAATTGGGATGAATGCATTATATGCTTCATCTCATTATTATCACAACAAGGCAAGTATCATTCTTATCAGCAGAGGAAACTGAGACACAGAGGTTGAATAATTTGCCAGAGATCACACAGCTCATCAACAGTGAGTGATAATGGGACACATATTTAAAAAGCAAAGGACTCAAGGTGGACAAGGGGATAGCACCCTCTGCAGGGAGGTCACAGCAGGGAGAAATGTTTATGTTTGCAGGTTGAGCTTAAGGGAGTCCCACTTGATAGTTAACATTTTCTGTGAAAAAGGCATGAGAACAGGAGAAGGGGCAGGAACTGTGCAAGCATGAATTCAACAACTGGTGGGTGGTAAGTTTTGAGATGAACACTTCCTTCAAAGCATGTCACATAACACAAGCCACCCCACCATTTTTAGTCAAGATGCCATGGCTTGTTCTACTTCGCAGGAGCTTTTCTATAGCCCCGGTGAGGCAGTCAGCGTTTGAGTGTTGGCAGAGATGGTCATGGGGTAGAAGTCTTGGATAAGTTCGGAGTAGCTGTAGGGAATGCAGCGTCTTTCTGACCTCAGGGAAACTCTAAGTCCTCTGTCATGGGCAGAGCTATGATTTGATTCTGTCATAAATGTAATCCATGCTTTGTACTCTTGCCTGTTGTATGTTACAGTTCTGAAAATATCCACCAGCCTCTCCTCCTTCAATTTTGAGCAAGACCTACCTGAGAACAGCTTCCTCAGAGTCACAGCAATGGCAACACATTCACACATCAGCCTCAGCTGCTTTGCTCAGGAAGACATAGCCATTGATAGACCGAATCTTACCATCAAGGTGGGCACTCCTTCTTCACTGAATTACTCTTAGCTGCTACCATGCAGGGCTGTTGGGTGGAAGAGTTTGGGGATGATTAGGAGGTGTGGCCTTGTTAGAGAGGGTGTGTCACCAGGGAGGGTCAGTCCTACTCTCACTCTGCTGTTTTGTGGCCCATTGATTTCTAACCAGGACCATTTTGTGGCCATGCATCTCAAACTATCCATTGGTGCAGGGTGGGCTCACCATTAAGTAGACAACTGAAAACAATGAATCTATCAGTAGCCAGTAGTTCAGCAGGGCTACATAGGGTCTGATGAGCATCTTAGGTTCCATGATTGGCTAGTGGTGGGCCCAGTCTATGCAAGCTCAATGCACATAACTGCTGTTGCTGTGACATCGTGTTTGACATGCTGTGTTGTGTCCTGAAGATAGCATTTCACAGCCAATTTCCTTATGGTTCAGATCTTACATTCCTTCCATCCACTCTTCAACAATGACCTTTGAACCTTAGAGCAGGTGATATAAATGTCCTGCTTATTAGGGCCAAGCATTCAACCATCACTTATTCTTTTTTTTTTTTTTTGGTTTTTTGATACAGGGTTTCTCTGTATTGTTGTGGAGGCTGTCCTGGCACTCACTCTGTAGACCAGGCTGGCCTTGAACTCACAGAGATCCGCCTGCCTCTGCCTCCCGAGTGCTGGGATTAAAGGCGTGCGTCACCACCGCCCGGCTCATCACTTATTCTTAACAGCTTGAACAGCCATGAGTCCCTGCACTGTTTTGACAGTGCTGGCGGGACAGTGGGAGGTTTGCCTTGTGCCCTTTATCTCAATACAATATTCGTGAGATGGAACTGAAGACGAGGTTTCTGTCCTGCGTGGTCTCGCAGCCGCTTAATCCCAAATAAACACACAGAGGCTTATATTAATTATAAACTGTTTGGCCAATTGCTCAAGTTTCTTATTGGCTAGCTGTCTCTTAATTATTAACCCATTTCTATTAAACTATGTATTGGCATGAAGCTGTGGCTTACCTGTAATGCATGTTACTCCTTCAGTGACTACACAGAATCTCTTTGGCAGCTCCTCTCTGCCTTCCTCTTGCCAGCATTCTCCTAGTCTGGTAGCCCCACCTATACTTCTTGCCTAGCTACTGGCCAATCAGCATTTACCTATCAACCGATATGAGAAATGTATATTCACGGCATACAGAAGGGCATCCCCCATCATGGAACAATACTTGTTACTCAGATAAGAAAATGGATTCCTAGAGTCCAACATACCCAATATCACAAAGTATAGTCCTAAAATGTCATCACCCTTCTTTTTACGAGTCTATCATGAAGTGGGTAAGACGTGGTCTTCATCTTCAAGAAGCTCTAATTAGATAAAGTAGGCACAGCATTTGTCTTTTGTGTAAGTGTAGGAAGAAAAAGCAATTGATTTCAACTGTTGGGTTTGGGCACAGTTTCATGAAGAAAATAACACTCAGGCTGAACCTTGCGAAATGGGTTCACTATTAGTTCTATATTTGGGGAAGCCCAATAAAGACTAAAGACAGGTCAAAGAAGTATGAAGGAAAGGAGTCTGAGGGGTGTCATGTAGTCAAGGATGGATGAGGTTGGAGAGGTGGGTAGAGGACACTGGTACAGGAATCAGACTAAGCTGAATTCCAAAGAGAGTGCATATGTCCCCAGGACTCCTAACAAAGAAAGGAACCACAGAAGCCATGTGTGATATAGCAATGGAGAGTGTTCATGAAGAAAGACTGGGGGAAAGCAAAGAAGCCACCTGAGAAGTCTGGGTCAGGGTGGCAGAGATGAGAGGCGTTTGAGGGCATTCACAGCAGAGGAAGACATGCCTATGTCTCTGTATCCATGGCCTTTCTCTACATGTTGTGTCTTCCTACAGATGCCAGAGACAGCAGAACAGTACCAGCCTCTCACTGTCTCAGTTGGCATCCAGAACTCCTTAGACTGCCCCATGCAGAACTGCATCATCTCCATCTTTGGAAGGGGACTCATTCATAGAGAGAAGAGATATAGGTAAGAGACTGTATGCTGTAACAAATCTTTCTCTGTTCCACCAGCCAGCTCCCAAATAGTGGCACCAAGACTTCTTATTAATTATAAAAAGCTAATTAATTAGCTTAGACTTGTCCCACAAGCTTTTATAATTTAAATTAACCTATTGTTTTACCTTTTTTTCATTCTGTATGTCCAGCTCGTTCTGTGTCTCATTGGAGTCTCTTCTTACCTCAATTATCTCCTCCAACTTCCTTTCTCTACCTAGAAGTCCCACCTATACCTCCTAGATAGCTACTGGCCATCCAGCTCCTTATTAAACGACAATATATCAATTACAGCAATATATCTTTACACAGTGTACAAAGATCCCACAACAGTAAGCTTCTTATCCCACTGAAAGATCTCAACTGGTTTGGACTCACTGACTTAAGAACAATAGTCCATCATTTTTCCATATCTCTGAAGGTAGAGCAAATGTCCCCAGAAGTTGAATTAAAGCTAGCAAATAGCTGTGCTTAAAGCATCCCACTGCTTTCCTAACCCAGAGTACCAAAGTCCAAATTCCTCCAAACAAAAACATTGTCAGGCCTATCCCAGAAATACCCCCAGTGCCTTAGTTAGGGTTTATATTGCTGTGAAGAGACACCATGACCACAGCGACTCTTATAAAGGAAAACATTTAATTGGGGTGGCTTACTGTTTCAGAGATTCAGTCCATTATTATCATGGAATGACAAGTCAGCATGCAGGCAGACATGGTGCTGGAGAGGTAGCTGAGAGTTCTAAAGCTTGCTTAGACAACAAGACGTGAACTGAGTGTCACACTGAGTGAAGCTTGAGCAAAGGAGACCTCAAAGTCTGCCCCTATAGTGACATACTTCCTCCAACAAGGCCACATCTACTTCAACAAGACCACACAACCTAATAGTGTCATACCCTATGATCTTATGGAGGCCAGGTACATTCAAACCACCACACTCTTATGTCTCATACACATCCACAAAGTTTCATACATGTCCCTTCCTCATAAATGTCCTCTTCAAAGCTAAACATTGGTGATTCCAGGGATCATACCTGTACAGGAATGGCATTTGCCGGTCACAGTACACGATCTGGTTTAGCTAGATCCTATCAGATTTAGTAGCAGGATAGCTGCAGGTGTCCATATTCCCTCCATCATTATAAGGTAGTCTCTTTTATCACCTGTCTGGCAATATCCATTTTCTTCTTTTCAGTAGAAAAAAAATGTCTAACAGACAGCCATGTCTTTTTTTTCTTATTTGCCCTTCTTTGAGTTGGTTATCCTTTTTCATTTCCTCTTATGCAGTTGTCTCTGTCTCGGCCTGCTTTTATTCTGTAGTTCTTGCCAACATTCTTACTGATTTTTAGGAGTTCCTGTGTATTCTGGGTCTCCATAGGTCTTTTCAGACGTTGCAAGTATCCATTTTCATTTTGCCTATGGCATTCCTAATTACACGCAGTTTAAAGGCAACACTGAGGTACCCAGCAGGTGCTCCAATTTATTGAGCCACTGGTGCAGCATCATGAAATTCAGTCATTCTTGCCATTAAAATGAGAGGAGTATTCATCAGCATTTAACTAGACCTCGTGATCTCCCGGACCAATTGTGCAGCAAAGTTTCTCTCTCTCTCTCTCTCTCTCTCTCTCTCTCTCTCTCTCTCTCTCTCTCTCTCTCTCTCTCTCTCTCTCTCTCTCTCTCTCTCTCTCTCTCTCATACACACACACACACTCAGTCCCAAACATTCTTAGTTACTGAAAGGCCTGCAGTAGCCCAGGAAGACCAGACACCAGCTTGCTGATACATTGGCACCCTCTCACTCTGCCTGTAGCACCCACTGCACTCAGCAGGAGGAAATGATCAAAAACTGAACCAGGCTAACTCACAGATGCTGAAGGGAGCAACAGATGCAGATGAAAGGCCTCTGCACACTTCCGTCTTGAGGCAGCGGTTGCTCTGTATAGAAAATCTCCTGTATTCTATCTCTTATGATCACTTTCGGCTTCCCAGCAATGTACTTAGATCTCCATATCCTCATGACCCACATCTTCACGTCAGGAAGGACAACTCATGGAGGCCAGCAGAGCAATGACCCTGGGAGAGAATTAACACCTGTCTCTACCTTTATTTCAGATTGGGTTCTGTGTGGCCAGGAAGCTGCCTGTATACTCAGTTCCAGTTCACACCGACACATCTGGGGCTCCAAAGACTCACTGTGGAAGTAGATTGTGACGTGTTCCAGAACCTGACAGGCTACAAAAGTGTCCTTGTGGTGGCCCCTAAGTCTCTGTTTAAGTCCAAAACAGCCCTTGAACTTCCTTCTGAAGTCAGACATACTCCGGAGTGACACTCTGCCCATCAGACAAATGAGTCTTCACTAAGGTTGAGCAGAACAGTGACCAAAAGCCAAGCTAGACTCACAGAAACCAAAATCCATTTCTGTTATGTCTACTTAGGACAGCCAGAAACACTATTTGTCTTAGAATAAACTGCTGTGCATTGGTGACTAAACAAGGCTTTGAAAAGACACTCAACCTTTTCAAAGTATAATTAGATGTTTTGACTACCTTTCTGGAGTGCATTCAAATTTGGGAGGGTTCAGATGTTTCACGACATTTTATTGCTCATTAATATAGCCATTAACTTACAGGAATGAAAGACAACCTAATGTTTAAATCACTCTATTTCTGATGGCACAGGACAATATTGACTAAAAATAAAATTTTTAGGTAATACTAAAATTACATTGATTAATACTACCCTAGCCATCATTGTAAAAGATCCAAATATAAATTAATAGAATTATTAAAACACATAATATAGGGCCCCCAAAATAATCTAAATTTAGCTATAGTGAGATCTTTATGAGTTCTATACTCATTAAATATCCCACAACTCAAGTCTGATGGGAATAATATGGATTTGGCCCAATAGAGAAGTATGAAAATTAAGTACATAGAAAAATATATCCTATAAGCCTGGTGGTGATGCGCACCAAAATACAGTTATGAAGTAGCAACAAAATAATTTTATGGTTGAAGGCCACCAAAACATGAAGAACTGTATTAAAGGGTCACAGCATCAGGAAGATTGAGAACCACTGACCTAGAAGATCATATACTGGAAAACAGGGTTACTAAAGGAAACTCTATCTAGATCTCTATCCTGCTATAGAACTCAGGATTCAAAGGTTGAGGTGAAATCCTCCTGCCTCAGAGAGGCTGAATAACAAGTAGCTAACCTTGTCTCCTTGCTCTATCTTCCAAAAAAAAGGGTTCGTTCTTCTGCTCAGCCCCAATAAAGAACTCTCCCTACATTTAGTTCCTCCCTACTAACTTTCTGTCAGCTAGCTGCTGACTCAACCTCTTGTCCCCAGGTTAATTTTATTTAATCAAACAAATGTAACACATCTTTGCATCATTAACAAAAGCAGCAGAAACAAATGTAACACACCTTTACAAAGCAGCCTTTAGTCCCAGCACTGGGGAGGCAGAGGCAGGTGGGTCTCCACAAAGCTACACAGAGAAACCCTGTCTTGAAGAACCAAAATAAAAAAGTAATAATAATAATATTCCACAACTGAATTGATATTCTTGAAGCAATAAAACACAAAGACAGAAGTTTGGTACCAGGCCAGTGGTTGGGGGGGTGGGGGTGAGGGATGGGGGAGAGGTGGGGAGTGTTCTGTGACAGACCAGACCATGTTGTTTTGGAGAGGATTGTGGAAGGACTTTGGAACTTTGGGCTAGAGGAGTCATTGAGTGTTGAGAGTTCAGTGGAACTGTTCTGTAGGAACTTGGAAGTTTAGAGTATTGAAAGCAATGAAAGTAGGGAGGCCAGGTTTGTGACCTTTCAAAGAAAGTAAAGACTCTACCAGGTCATTTTGTGAAGAATCTGTGGTGTCTGGTAAGATGGCGCCAAAGAATCGGCTGTGATTAAGAAGAGACCAGAACTGCTAAAGTGAAACCTTGGTTTTGCTGGGACAGTGGATGTTGGTCAGCTTGGGAAGAAGAATTAGCTGTGATTAAGAAGAGACCAGCAAGCTGGGCATTGGTGGCACACGCCTTTAATACCAGCACTAGGGAGGCAGAGGCAGGCAGATCTCTTTGAGTTCGATAGAGGCCAGCCTGGTCTACAAGAGTTAGTTCCAGGACAGCCTCCAAAACCACAGAGAAAACCTGTCTCCAAAAAACAAAAACAAATAAAAAACAAAAACAAAAAAAGAAGAGACCAGCAATCATAGAGGTAATGTCTTCAAGGAAGTGTTCACTCAGGGTCAGAACACAGAAGTTGTGTTCCATGGGCGTTGGTAGCCGAACTTGGTAGTGTATGAATCACCCAGAAGGTACTGATTTTAAGGTGTGAAGGGGCCATGAAGAGCAGCTGAAGCTTGGCACTTCATGGCAGGGTTGGAGTCCCTGGAGGAACCCAGATCATGAGTAAATTGCAGAATTTGGACACTAAGTGATCTACACTGTTGGAGTGTGGTTTTGCTTTGTCCAGATTGGGACTTTGCCCTGGTTCTTTCCTCTTGAAGTAAGAAAGTATTTAACTTATTTTTGATTTTACAAAAGCCCATAGTTTAGAGAATGAATTTTTTTGTTGTTGTTGTTTTGGTTTGGTTTTTACGAGACAGGGTTTCTTTGTATTGTTTTGGAGGCTGTCGGTCCAGGCCGGCCAAGAATGAATTTTTAAAGAGGTTTTAGGTTTAAAAGAGACTTTGGAGTTCTAAAGAAACTAAACTTTTAAAATGTTTGAATTGGTAATGACTGTAGGATTTTTAAGTTTGTAATATGTTTTATATTTGTGGTTGTCTTAGTGTTCTATTGCTGCAAAGAGACACCATGATCATGACAACTCTTACAAGGAAAGCATTAATTGGGGCTGGCTCACAGGTTCAGAGGGTTAGTCATTATCATGAAGGCAAAGCATGGTAGCATGCAGGCAGACATGGTGCTGGAGAGGTAGCTGAGAGGTCTACATCTGGATCCACAGGCAGCATAAAGAGACAGAGATGCTATGCTGGGCCTGGTTTGAGCATCTGAAACCTCAAAGCCCACCCCTAGTGACATACTTCCTCCAACAAGGCCATACCTCCTAATAAGAGACTCCAGATAAGCCTATGAGGATCATTTTCATTAAACCACCACAGTGATATTCATTAATCTTAAATCTTGGGAATGAAACTAAAAATGGAAAGGCTATGACTTAATCTTGATGTGTTTGTATGTCAGGTTGATAAGAGGTTATTAATTGTGCTAGCTAGTTTCATGTCAACTTTACAAATGCTAGAGAGTTATCTGAATAAAGGGAACCACAACTAAGGAAATACCTTCATAAGATTTGGCTATAGCGCATTCTTATTTAGTGATTCATGGAGGGTGGGGTACTCAGCCCATTGTGGGTGGTGCCATCCTTGAGCTCATTGTGCCGGATTCTATAAGAAAGCAGGCTGAGCAAGCCATGATGAACACACCAGTAAGCAGCACCCCTCCATGGCCTCTGCATCAGCTCCTGCCTCCAGGATCCTGTCCTGTGTGACTTCCTTCACTGTGGAAGTGTAAGCAAAATAAACCCTTTCCTTTCCAACCTTCTTTGGTCATGGCGTTTCATCATAGCAATAGAAACCCTAACTAATACCCCCTTTGAAGCTGTAATCAAGTCCTCTTCTATAAGTTGTCTTGGTCTTGGTGTCTCTTCACAGCAATAAATAGTAATTAAGACAGAGCTCAATAACAAAATCTTTTGAGGCATAGAGTAACCTGAATAGCATTCAGAAGGACTTACTGGTTCAAATAATAGCACCAAGAGGGACTTTGTGGTCATCTCTATGTATGTAAAAATCAGTATTTTCATTTTACATGCACTTTTGAGCAGACTTGTAGGGTCTCTTACCCCTTCCCTAGAGCTGTGTCATGGTTGTGGTGCTGTTCTCTGCTGGTAGGTTCAGGCAGCATGTGCTGAGCCTCTTTCAAGCTTTTCTCATTATCCCACATCTACTTGCTTGCTCCTCTGGGCAATGGCAGTAAAGGGAGATTGTGGAAATCTTGGCTTCACACTCCTATAATCATAGTACACGTCTGGCTTACTGTAGTTAAATTTTTCCTTCAGTCTAAATTCAGCCTCTGATTTGGTTTCCAGCAGTGAGACCCCATGGGCTCAGAGACCCTCAGGGCGTTTTCCTGCTCTGCACTCATCAATAGGCATCACAGAAAAAAAATCCTAGGCTTGTTTCTGCATTCTTGTAGTCCTTTCTCTGGTCTCCCTCTCTCTCTCTGTGTGGCTCTTTACTGCCTTGGGTTTCTTTACCAACACTCCTGGTCACCCAGATGCAGTTTTGGATCCATTCCCAAGTATTGTTCTACCAGAAATGCATTCTGGTAAGACCAGAATGATGTTTTCATTTAAATTTATGAGCCTAAAGGTTTAATACTCAACATCCTCTGCCTCCTCCTATTACCATGTAAAGCTAGGGACCCACTGTGTATGTGTATGGCAGAACCTGGTTCATGATGCAGCATCAAGATTTGAGCAACAGGCCGGGCGGTGGTGGCGCACGCCTTTAATCCCAGCACTCGGGAGGCAGAGGCAGGCGGATCTCTGTGAGTTCGAGGCCGGGCTGGACCGACAGCCTCCAAAACCATACAGAGAAACCCTGTCTCGTAAAAAAAAAAAAAAAAAAAAAAAAGATTTGAGCAACACACCCCAGATAACATGGACTGTGGAGACAGCTGAGGGAAGGGCCAGCCTTTGCAACCAGAACCCTTAAGGTACCACGATCTGAGACTCCACCCATAAAGCACAGGCTGGGTCATTTATTCAAAGTCACACCGGGAGAGAACAAGAGTATAATGGAGGAACTCCCAGGAGGGAGACAGACTTTTTGTAACTGAGGAAAGAACATTGAGAGATGAGACTGAGTCTGGTTATCAGGCCGGACAGTTTTCATAGCTTATATTGCCAACGAGCTCTCTTCCCTGCATCTATTCCTCCCGTTTAATACCTAATGTCAACTTGCTCCTATTCTGTTATTGCCCTGAGTTACTTTTCTGTTCTCTTTACTGCTTCCTTTTTTATTTTCCTCTTCCAAAGAGCAGATTGAACTAATTTTGCCACACCAAATCCAGTAGATTCTGTGTGACAAGTTCCACAGACTGAGGCGATAACTTCAAAAGAAGGAGGTCTCCTGGAAATGGTTGTGGAACTCAGCCGGAGAAAAATATTGAGCCATAGTTCTCATGGCAATCTCTGTTCTTCTATTCTTTTCTGATATTAATGAAATGTTCCTGAAAGCCTATGCTGACATTTTAAACAGAAGAAATAAATGAGAAACCGTCCCCTGAGACAAGGTCACTGATCATGACTTCATCTCTGGGAAAACCAGTGCTTTTTGAATCATTCACGTCATTCATATAAGTAAATAGTAATAGTATTAATAAAAACTTTCCCAACAATAAAATTTCATATGGCTGTACATGTGTGATCGAGAGTGGTTTTAATGTTTGGTAAACAAAGCTTTTTGATAAGAAAAAAAGTTAAAATTGCTCTATTTCGAAGACTTACAAGAACTAGGCAACAGATACCAAACAACTGTGACTAGGTAACAGATGTCCAACAATAACCATAAAAATTTATTAACCTGATCTTAGAAATAGGTGGTTAGCTACGGTTAGCCTTGAATGATTTTTTGATTTATCATTTTATTAGCTTTGTAAAAGTTGTGTGTTATTATGCCTAGTAACGATGATGTCATTTGTCTGCTTCACTGAACACAAACTCTGAGAAGGTATGCTTTATTCTGTATAAAAAGCCTTGCTTAAAAGCTGCAAAATACACTCAGATTTAAACTGCCTCTGTGTTTGTTTGTCACCGCCGAATCCTTACCCACCTAGTCTTCGAGAACCCTCATCCCAGGGACCCCCATACCCAGCTGGGGTGGTCCGTGGCATGATTTGCCAATACTAATCTTAGTCTTAGCCTTTTCTTCTCTTTTCCACTCATATCCACGTAACTAACTGTAGTGGTTTGAATGAAAATGGCCCCTAGCCAGACATTGGTGGTGCACACCTTTAATCCCAGCACTCAGGAGGCAGAGGCAGGCAGATCTCTGTGAGTTCTGAGACCAGCCTGGTCTACAAAACGAGTTCCAGGACAGTCTCCAAAACAACACAGAGAAACCCTGTCTCGAAAAAACAAAGCAAACAAAAAGAAGAAAAAAAGAAAATGGTCCCATAGGCTCATAGGTAGTGGCACTATTAGGAAGTGTGGCCTTATTGGAGTAGGTGTAGCCTTGTTGGAGGAACTGCTTCATAAGGGAATACATTTTGAGTTCTCAAATGCTCAAGCCAGGTCTAGTGTAACATTCACTTCCTCTGGCCTGTGGATCCAGATGTAGAACACTCGGCCATCTTTCCCACCCAAATTAAGTACTTTCCTTTATAAGAGTTGCCTTGGGCCTGGTGATGGTGGTACATGCCTTCAATCC